CGCGCGGCGCCGGCGGAGGCGGCGGGTCCTGTGCTGGCCATGGCGCTGAGCAGGAGGGAAGGTGAGGCCCGGCCCTGCTTCTTGCTCGGGGCGCAGCCGCTGCCGGGGGAGGGGAGTGAGGTCTCCCTCTGCAGTGCGGGCGGGACCTCCTGAGGGATGAAGCTCGGGGCCGTCCGGCCGTCCCGCCTCTTCCCATGTCCCCGCCTGAGCGGCCGTCCCGGGCACCCCTCCCGCGCGCTGGCGGCGGGCGCCCCCCTGAAGTTTCTTCCTGGCTCAGCCCGTCCCGCAGCTGCGCCGCCTCCGCGCCTGGTCCGTGCCGCCTGGCGCCCCGCTGCTCCGGGCTCTCCGAGGCGGCCAGGCCCGGCCTTGCCGAGCGCTGCCTTTGCCCGGTGTCTCTGTCCTCCCCCGTGCAGCGGGAATGGAGGCCGGACGGGTTGTAGGCGCAGGGCTGTGCCTGGAGGTGGATGGCCCGGCTGGTATGTGAGAGTGTGGCTGAACCCCCTTGGAGTTTTCAAACAGCCGGAGTATGACGCCCGCTTCCTGGCTGGTGAGGGAATGGAGCTGTAACCAAGTCCTTTTCTGGGTGAACGGTATTGTCAGTGACAGGGTTTGGGGCTGTGGCTGTGCGGTATGTGGTAATGCAGACCCATCTGTGGCACTGCATGCTGCACACGTTGGTGTTCCACACACTGCTACCTGGCACCGTGGGGGGGAAGGGTTGACTCCAGGAGATCCTGTTGTCAAAAAAACCCTGTGCCTTAAAAAATGGGGTGTACGTGGCAGCGGCGCGTGCTGCCCAAAACTGGAGCCTGGCCAATCGCAGCCACACTCCAGCTGCCAGCCAGGCTCCCAGCTGCAGGGGTGGCATTGCTGCAGCTCCCCAAAGACCCTGGGACCCCAGGTAAGGCTGCTGGGGCCAGCACAGTTGCTGACCCCAGCCTTCCCTACCCCACCTGGGGTAACCTGCTGTCTGCCAGACGGTGTGTGGCATGGGTGTTCCCAAGGAATAAGTAGCAGCAGCACTGCTTCTTGTCCCTGGGCAAACAAACATCTGCACTCGTGTGGACACGGCCTGCGAAGGAACACAGAGGCCATGTTGGGAACTACTTGTTTGAAGTTTGGCTCTGTAGTAGTTAGGTAGATGTGGCTCTGTAGTAATTATTTATTTATTCTTTTTTTTAATTTGATTTATGTGCCACCCTTCCCCGCAGACACTTAAGACTACTTAACTTACAATAAGAGAACAGAATGACTTTTGTAGAACAGGAAAGCAAAATGACTTACAAGGGAACTAAAATATTAACACAAAATGGAAACCTCCTCCTCCCACAGACGGTATCTCAGCCTAATTTTTGTTTGCTACATGTTTGCTCAGAAAGGAAGGTCTTGCAGTGCTTCCAAAAGATGCCTAGACTCAGGCTGTGGTGGGCCTCAAGATGGAGAGAGTTCCAGAGCTGATGATGGACTGCTGGTAATGACCTCCCACATGTTTTAGACAAAGACACTTTGGCATATTGATGGTATTTGCAGGACATGGTACTCTCAGCTGACTTTTTTGATCATGATGGGCACAGCAGAGAAGGTGGTCCCTTTGGCATGTTGAGCCCAGACCAGATCTACCCCCATCAGAAGTTGGGCTGCCCAGTTCTGCACCAGCTGCAGATTCTGGACCATTTTCAAAGGCAGCCCTATGTGCTATTGGGCTATAGTGTATTGCTGTAGTCTGGCCTTGAGATTACAAAGGCATGGATACAGTTGACCAGGAGATGCTGATAAAGTGTTTGTATGACCTGCTGAGACAGGATATACAAACTCAGGTCATACAGGTCTCAGAGGGTGATGATGATCAAGGATCCTGGTTCTCCCCGATTTAAAAAAAGAAAATTGCAAATTCTCTGATAGACACCCAACATTTCTGATTTAAAATGAAAGACCACTAATATAGGTATCAGGTGAACACAACGGTTTCTTGATACATTTACAATTTTAAAGCAATTTGGAAGCCTACCAGTGCCTCTGTGTACAGGGTGGGCGCAGGCTCCCCACCTTGCTGCTGTCCCCTGGGGACTCTGCAGCCCAGCAGGTATGACACGGTGCTGCAGGGCACAGTGGGGCCACACAGGGAAGCTGCTTGCCACTGCAAGCTCTACGCTGCTCTGGTAAGGCATCCCCTGCCCATGCAGCAGCAGCAGAGGGTGGCAGCACAGGGTTGTTTTCCCTGCTTCTGCTGTGCGTGCAAGGGACACATCACCAGGGCAGTGCAGAGCTCACAGCGGCAACAAGCTTCCCTGATGTGCCCTGCAGCACCAGGTCACACCTGCTGGGCCGCCTAGGCCCTGTGGGAGGGCAGCAGGAGGGGGAGCCAAAGCCTGCAGCGGGTTGCCTGCATCCACCTCTGCCCCATGCACAGATCTGGGGGGCACAGGTCTCTCTGGGATTATATGTAGTGCTGGGGAGCTGACCCCACCCCCCACCTACAGTCCTATCCCACTCCTCATCAGGGCCCTGTGGCTGTGCATTCTGGCCCTGGGCCCCAAGCCCCATGCACTGACTGGCTGGGCAGGAGCCCTAGCCTTGTCCAACTCACTCCCTCCCTCCCTTCCTATGGGGGCCTCAATTCCCACTTCACACCCCCTAATTTACCCATGGAAACTGCTCTCCATGCCTGGCAGCCATGTGCATATACTTGTATATGGTGCCCTGCCAGCCTGCACAGGGCTCTTCGCAAAACTGTAGAATCCATGAGTTCCTCCATTAAAATGAGAAATCTGCGTTTTCCTCAGGTAAAGGGGGAAA